ATCAATAAAATTAACATTATAAATATTCAAATTATAAAAAGAATCTAAAATTATTAACAAACTAGTTTTCAAAATTCTATATTTCATAAAAGCAATATAACCTATTAATTTACTTTTAGTATTATATTATTTCATATAAATTATTTATGCTATTAAATTAAATTGGAGTAATTTTTTTCAATTTGGCATTTTTAAGTCCCATATTAGGCTAGTTTAAAGGATCTGTCAAAAAGGTTTTATACATATTGATAGGAATCCTTTAAATTTACATTTATCTAACCTAGATAAAACCAATTAATTATTATGAGCAATATAAAGTATTATAGATAGAGAAATTATTAGATTACAAGAAAATTTGAGTAAAGTGAATTAAGATAGGCTTATAAGAGAATCATGCTTGAATATCATCCTGATAGAAATCCTCAAATTACATCAGAATAATTTAATTTTTTGAAAAATATAAATGAAATATTAAAATCAGATGAGGCAAGATAATGTAAAGACTTTTTTTAAAAGTAGAATATGATCAATTTGGCGTTATTGTAGAAAGCAATATAAATCCATTACCAGCAATCATTTATAGAATTAGATTAACACGATTATTCTTTTACATGATTGTCTTTTTAATTCAATTAGTCAATACTTAAGATTAAAAGAAAGAATCAAAAAAAATGACAATTTTGGTTTTAATTTTAGGCTTTTTAGACTTTTAATTAGTTGAATAACCATAATATTTTTAAAATTCTAGTTTCTTTGCATCGCTAACACTGTTTGAATTTTTGAATGTTTATAGGATAGCTGTTACAATGATTTTTTCATACTTTTTAGCAGAAATTAAAAATCAGGAATTAAATAGAAATTAGCAAATAAATAATTTGGATAAAGAAACTATTGATAATTTAGTAAAAGAACATTAAGAAATTTTAAAATCTCAAAATTCTCTTAAATAAAGAATTTTAAATGCATTTCTTATGTTAGCATTGACTGTTTATGCATTATCTAATTTTTATGATTTTAAGACTTTATTTTTAAGAGTTTTAAAGAGCGTTTAAATAATAGAATAAGATTTATGATATATTAATATAAATTTATCTGAAAAATATTTTATTTTAATATTTAGGTTCTTTTATCGATAATTTTAGTGTAATTAAATTAGTTTAGATAATAAACGTAAAATTACTAATATCTACATTAATTTGAATTAATTCTATTGAGTAAATCCTATACAATAACTTTATCGAAGTATTTTGATTTCTAGTTAAATTCTTTTTCAAATTTTTTAATACCTCTTCTTCAATGGTTTTTAAATTTGATCGAATTTATATAATTATTTATTTATTGGTTTTGTCCATACAATATATGCAATTCAGAAATCAAAATTTGTTTTCAAAAATAAATTGAATTCATTATTGTAAGGTAATCTTTTATTGGTAAATATGATTCATTAGGTCTGTTACTATAGAAAAAGAGATTTCTGCATAATTATTCATCCTAATCATCTCTAAAAATCTCATCAAATAAGTTCCTCTAAAAATGTCTTTTTTTTTGCTATTTGATGAAGTCATGGGTATTTAAAGTTTTATGGGACTTAGATTTTGGGATTGAGTTATAGAATCCTGGAGGGAATGAATAAAATTTTTTATTTTTTTTCAATTTTCATTATGAAGCTTAATTTGATGAATTTTCTTTTTAATACAATCAAGTTATATGATTGCTTTAAATAGTTAAGTGTTTTGGATTAAAAAATAAATTAAAAATTAAATCTAATTAAAGTCTTTTTATAATCTCTAAATTTTTGGATTTTGCTAAAAGCTCTCTATCATTTAATATTTTTTTATGAAAAATTTTCCATCAAAACATTTCAAATAGGCTCTTTTCTTATATCTAAACAAAATATTGTCCATCTTCTCTTTTTTTCTTTTATGATCCCTTGTATTATTAATTTTTTACAATAAGAAGAACAACTACAAGAAAACTTAATTGTTACTTCCTTTGTTATAAGATAATATAATTGGGTATATCATAACCAAAAATTAATATATGCAGTCTGTTTTAATGAATTCAATAATTCAACTGAAACAAGAAAAATAACTGAATAAAAATTTCATGATTTTTTATGGATTGAGATTATTAATTTAATCATTTTTTTATTTGTAAATATAATGCTTTCTAGATCCATAATAAATGAAAGTTAATTAGAAGGATAATAATTAATATATTAAATTAAATTATCAGTTAAATAATGTTTGAAAATAATAGTGTTAAATATGTTCCATCAGTGCCTAAAATAGTTGATCCTGAACCAATAACTTGTATAATTGAACCAAGTATTTGAATATATTGAAAATTATAGGTGAAGATGAAGGAGGTCTATATTTAGGTAATTTGGAAGCAGCAAATAATATTGATTTATTAAGAAAAATGAAAATTCGAGCAGTACTAACAGCAAGTTAAGAGACCGCAATCAAATACTAAGAGCATGTTGTTCATTTTCACGAAATTATTATGGCTCATGATAAGGCAGATTACGATATCATTTAACACTTTGAATAGGCTTATGAGTTTATTGATAGACATAGAAAATACACAAATGTCTTTGTACATTGCTTTGCAGGTATAAGTAGATCTGCTTCAATGGTCATTGCTTACTTAATGAAAAAATATAATTTATCATTCGAAAAAGCACTTTGGAATGTAAAGGCTAAGAGAAGATAAGTGCAACCTAATGTTGGATTTATTAGATAATTGTAAAAATATGAAAACGTACTAAAAAATCAAGCAATTTCTACTGCACCATCAAGAATTCAATATTAGTAATAATAATTCCCATAATATGGTTTCATTTAATAATAAATCCAGCAGCCAATCTAACAATCAATTATGACACCATTTATTTAATAATCTGTCCAATAACCATGGAATCAATCATAACGTTATGATGAATTAGTTTAATATTATTGATTATTATAAAGACTTTAAATCTATAACTATACTAGTATTATTTATATTTCTTCTAAATTTTTAATAAAATTCATTACAGTAAATTTATTAATTAATTTTTATTATTTATGTTTGAAAACCTTTTGAATAAATTAACAGAGAAAGTACTCAAACATTTAAATAAAAGGCATTTTATAAGTAGTGAATCAAAGATTATATATAATTATAATTTAAATGTAATTTTAATAGTAGCATCATAATTCTCTTTCTAAACGAAAATCAGTTAATAAAGCAACCAGTGTTATTGAAGACCCCTTATAGGTATTTTTAGCTGATAGCAACTACTAAGAATTTAAATCTTCTAAAAAAAACAACAATAAAAAATTTAAAACTGAACATACCCTATAAGTCTAAAAAAACTTATAATTAAAATTCATTCGCTTAAAGCAATAAAAAAGTATTTGAAGTCTTCATTTAGTTTACAATTTTTGCTTATGAAGTTTTGGAATGGGAAATAATTTAAATTCCACTTCCTATCGAAGTTATTTAATTTTTTTCATACTTAAAATTTTAATGCTATTTAGGTATAATAGTATAACCTTTTAATACTTATGTATATATAATATAAAATTAAGTAAAAATTAACTAAAGTTCTTAAATAAAATCATAGAAAAGGATGGATCTAGAAAAAAATGAGAATCTATAAAGAAACAAAACGACAATAAATTTTTATGCTTTAGCAGTAAAAACACTAGCTTATGAAAACATAAAGATTGGTATAAAAAGAATTAAGAAATGTTATGGATTTAAATATAATAGATAAGAATGGGAGTTGATTATGAATTAATTAAAATTGTACAAACAAAAAATATAATATTTTTCCTCAAACGTTAATTCAATTAATTTCTTAACAAAATAGAAGGATTTAGACTAAGATTGTATTTCAAATGGCTGTTAAATAAATTGCATTATATAATATAATCAATCTAAAAGATCATAGATAAAAATCCGAATATACAACTGATAATTCTTTAGATGGAGATCCAAATATCAAAATAAAGATTAAAGAACTTTAGGAATAACTAATATTATTATTACTAGAAAATTAAGATGGTATGATATCACCTTTAATTAAGAGTGTATCTTTAAAGAAAATACCTAAATTATAAAAGGAACGTGTTTATTTTGAATTGAATTTGATTGAGCTTGGGTTTTCAAAATTGAATAACTTTATAGATACAATTAAGGATGTTATCTAAATAGAAAATAATGAATGAAATAATATTTATGTAAAACTAAATTTAACTAAATTTTCAAATAATAAATTATGTAAATATAATATTTGGATAATCTTTAATCAGATAAAAATCTTTTCAAACTTATAGAAGACAAGAAAGGAGAATTTAAAGTTTATTGATGAAATGTTAGGTGTATAAATATTATCAACTATAAGGAAATGAAAATAAGCAAAATGACACCTATTCTATATAAGATTGATCAGAAAAATCAAAGAATTCATTAGGTATGAGAAGTTATATAAATTATGGTTAAGGTGAAATTCAAGTTGATTTTGATTTAACTAAAGAATTACAAATCTCTCTCTTAAAATAATAAGAATATAAAAATGAATTAATTTTTATTTTGTTAAATTTTTCAATACTTTAATAATTGAAGTTGAATATTAACAAAGAAACTATATTCATAAAGATCACATTTAAGTGAAGTAATTATCTAGAAGTTCTTCATAGTGACTATTAAATTTCCCTTATGCTTTGGAACATTAATGAAGTATTTTACAACATTCAGTGCTTTCTGATTTACAATGTTCGCTGATACTGTTTATAAATTACTTAGCTTAAATTTTATTTCTTGGATCTTCAAATATGCTTTTTATTGTGGTTCTTTTTTTTCCAAAAGAAGGTAAATCTGTGAGAGTAGGTTATCTAAAGAAATCTCTTTAATGTCTAATTTAAGATTCATAAATTCTCTTTTTCTCTTTTGTTTAAGATAACAATGCCCTTGCTTTACTCAATGGTTCTCTTAAAGTTAATTTACTTTTAAAATTCATTTCAGGTTAAATTGTATTCAGTAATTCATAGTATGATGGAGCTAATTTCACATCACAATCTTGATTTATTAAACTAGATATTGAATTAGAATGTTTGTTTATTAATTAATTATGAATGGATTGTTATAGCTCTTCAGTTTTAGCAGTATGATTTCCAAGCTTTTTTATTTATTTTGTCTCTCTTTCAAAATCTTTTTGGATTAGGAGAAGCACTTTGTCATCAGAATTTATTTTAGCCCTTTTAGTTCTCTTTCTTTAAGTATTAGGTCTTTGTTTTATTTCTTAGTTATTAATGATCTCTCTTNAATTTCTTAACAAAATAGAAGGATTTAGACTAAGATTGTATTTCAAATGGCTGTTAAATAAATTGCATTATATAATATAATCAATCTAAAAGATCATAGATAAAAATCCGAATATACAACTGATAATTCTTTAGATGGAGATCCAAATATCAAAATAAAGATTAAAGAACTTTAGGAATAACTAATATTATTATTACTAGAAAATTAAGATGGTATGATATCACCTTTAATTAAGAGTGTATCTTTAAAGAAAATACCTAAATTATAAAAGGAACGTGTTTATTTTGAATTGAATTTGATTGAGCTTGGGTTTTCAAAATTGAATAACTTTATAGATACAATTAAGGATGTTATCTAAATAGAAAATAATGAATGAAATAATATTTATGTAAAACTAAATTTAACTAAATTTTCAAATAATAAATTATGTAAATATAATATTTGGATAATCTTTAATCAGATAAAAATCTTTTCAAACTTATAGAAGACAAGAAAGGAGAATTTAAAGTTTATTGATGAAATGTTAGGTGTATAAATATTATCAACTATAAGGAAATGAAAATAAGCAAAATGACACCTATTCTATATAAGATTGATCAGAAAAATCAAAGAATTCATTAGGTATGAGAAGTTATATAAATTATGGTTAAGGTGAAATTCAAGTTGATTTTGATTTAACTAAAGAATTACAAATCTCTCTCTTAAAATAATAAGAATATAAAAATGAATTAATTTTTATTTTGTTAAATTTTTCAATACTTTAATAATTGAAGTTGAATATTAACAAAGAAACTATATTCATAAAGATCACATTTAAGTGAAGTAATTATCTAGAAGTTCTTCATAGTGACTATTAAATTTCCCTTATGCTTTGGAACATTAATGAAGTATTTTACAACATTCAGTGCTTTCTGATTTACAATGTTCGCTGATACTGTTTATAAATTACTTAGCTTAAATTTTATTTCTTGGATCTTCAAATATGCTTTTTATTGTGGTTCTTTTTTTTCCAAAAGAAGGTAAATCTGTGAGAGTAGGTTATCTAAAGAAATCTCTTTAATGTCTAATTTAAGATTCATAAATTCTCTTTTTCTCTTTTGTTTAAGATAACAATGCCCTTGCTTTACTCAATGGTTCTCTTAAAGTTAATTTACTTTTAAAATTCATTTCAGGTTAAATTGTATTCAGTAATTCATAGTATGATGGAGCTAATTTCACATCACAATCTTGATTTATTAAACTAGATATTGAATTAGAATGTTTGTTTATTAATTAATTATGAATGGATTGTTATAGCTCTTCAGTTTTAGCAGTATGATTTCCAAGCTTTTTTATTTATTTTGTCTCTCTTTCAAAATCTTTTTGGATTAGGAGAAGCACTTTGTCATCAGAATTTATTTTAGCCCTTTTAGTTCTCTTTCTTTAAGTATTAGGTCTTTGTTTTATTTCTTAGTTATTAATGATCTCTCTTTCAGCATTCAATTTACCATAGATTCTTAACATTACTGGATTTATGGAAGGTTGAGTCTCTAAGGAGTATAAAATAGAATTTTAACTTGTCATGAAGGATTTAAACATCATCATATTTTTGATATACCTAGGACTCATTCTTATTTCACCTAGTTGGCTTTTCATTAATTAAGGTTTAATAAAATATAATTCTTAATTAGTTCAATATTTTACAATGTTGAAAATGTAATTCAAACAAGAGGATTCTTGCCAGATTTGAAACATTAAATTAGTTTATACAATCCTTAATATAGCTAATTTATTAGGAATTGATTAATAACTATATTAGCTTTACTTTGTATGGCAGAATGACATTTGATTACTTGGCTATTGATAAATTACAATTAGAAATTTATAAAAAATAAGGGACAAATGAAAAACAAAGACAAGCTAATGTAATTTTATCAATCATTAAATAACATCATATGCTTCTTTGTGCACTCCTTATTGGTTTTGCATTTGTAAAGAATCACTTCCTATATTTTTGCTAAAGTTCTTCCACAAGCATTAGCAATTTAAATATTATTTTACTGAATAAATTTATAGAATACTTTGTCTACCTAAACAATAAAAAAAATATAAAGAAAGATTTTTCATGTTTATTTGTAATCTTGATAATTTTTGCAGGAGAAATCATACCTTAGATGTTTTGTATCTGTACCTTAACAATTAATTATTACTGAAAGTTTAACACCAATAGTTAAAGATTAATAATTCTATTTTAGCCAATTAGTTATCTTTTAGCTAAGATGTTAGATGCTTATTTTGATGATCATGGATCGACCAGATTCGACCAGATTCTAAAAAAATGAATTAAAAGCTTTAATAGAATTGCATGAAATTTAAAAATATGCTACAAGAGATGGTCGTGGTACTTAGGATTCACTCAAGTAGAATCTAATATGATTATTTCTTCTATTGATTTGAGAGATAAAACTGTTGGATTAGTCCTGATCCCTCTTTAAAATTTTTTTTTTATTAATAAAAATAATGAACTAATAAAGATACATTAGCAAAAATATCATCCTCTGGTTATTCTTAAATCACAATTTATGAGAATTAAAAAAAAAAATTATTGGAATCAGAATCATTAAAGCTAAATAATTGGTTGATATGAAATTAATTAAAAAAGAGATATCTGAATTAAATAATCTTGTTAAACCTGTTCTTTTATTTAAAATAATACCTCTTTATTTTAAATGCTTATAAATAAACTGCTACATCAAGAAATCCTAATTTTCAAATTGTTATAAAAAAATAATTTTTGGATTTAGTTTCTCAAAAATGTTATTTAAGAAAATTGTTAAAAAGGAGTTTAATGATTAAGATAATCACATAATGATAAATTCGGTATGATCTCTATAATTATTTCTAGTTAAAACCTCACTAAATAGCAAAATACTTCTTGAAGCTGAAGAAATGAAATACATTATATTAATATTTTAGATAATTATTTAATTTTTATTATTCAATATTATCTTTCTCTTTTTATTTCATATTAATTCATCTATTAATTAAAGGATTTTCAAAGTTAATTCCAATTCATAATGATCTTGAATAAATTTAATAACATCATCTTAGACTTTTTAATTCACTTCTTTGTATGATCCTTCTTTTGATAAGTCATAAACTTTAAATTATTCTTCATCCTAAATTTCAATTACATCTTATGATAAACTATTAGCTGTAAATGATTCTTATTTTGATTAATCTTATACTTTATTTGTATTTTATTTTGATGAATGCCACCATAATGAATTCTTAATAAAAAACTTTAAAAATATTTCAAAGATTTAGTCTTAAGGTATATCATCAATTTAAAATTTAAAATCTTAAAGTAGTTTTTCTTTGATTAATTTTGATTAAGTTAAGCATTCTTTAATTGTTTTATCAATAGATTCAAATGCTCTATTTGCTCTTTACCTTTCTTTTTCTATATACTTTTTTAGTAATTCATAATATTAATTTTTTGTAATTCCTGTTATTAAATAAGAGTTTTATAATTTATCTCCATAATATTATTAGAATTATTTCACAAATAAAGGTTAAAAATAACTTAAGAAGTATTATTAGATTTTTAGTGTTTATTCTTTATAATTATTTTGTTATTATATTTCTTATTCAGTTGGTTATACTATATTTTCTTCAAATTGAATATTTAATTTTAATATTTCATCTAATTAAATAAGCAATTCTTTTTCACATTAATATCTTTATTTTTGAAATTTATGATAATCTTCAATTTCATTTTTCTTCATTGTTTATTTAGATATATCAACAAAACTAAATTTAGATTTTAAATGCTTACTCTTTAATAAATTGATTAACTATTTCAATCATGTCTTTAAATTGTTTTTTATTATTTATATTACTTACTTTTTTTAAATTTTCTAACAATTTCTAAATTCTTTCATCTTAATATAATTCTAGAAATTATTTAATAATTTTTTTAATAGCTTTCACATCCATACAAATATTTTCATCTTCTTCATTTAAAGTCTTTGAAATACTTAAATATTAAACAAAATAAATTTTATCTATNAAAAAAAATATAAAGAAAGATTTTTCATGTTTATTTGTAATCTTGATAATTTTTGCAGGAGAAATCATACCTTAGATGTTTTGTATCTGTACCTTAACAATTAATTATTACTGAAAGTTTAACACCAATAGTTAAAGATTAATAATTCTATTTTAGCCAATTAGTTATCTTTTAGCTAAGATGTTAGATGCTTATTTTGATGATCATGGATCGACCAGATTCGACCAGATTCTAAAAAAATGAATTAAAAGCTTTAATAGAATTGCATGAAATTTAAAAATATGCTACAAGAGATGGTCGTGGTACTTAGGATTCACTCAAGTAGAATCTAATATGATTATTTCTTCTATTGATTTGAGAGATAAAACTGTTGGATTAGTCCTGATCCCTCTTTAAAATTTTTTTTTTATTAATAAAAATAATGAACTAATAAAGATACATTAGCAAAAATATCATCCTCTGGTTATTCTTAAATCACAATTTATGAGAATTAAAAAAAAAAATTATTGGAATCAGAATCATTAAAGCTAAATAATTGGTTGATATGAAATTAATTAAAAAAGAGATATCTGAATTAAATAATCTTGTTAAACCTGTTCTTTTATTTAAAATAATACCTCTTTATTTTAAATGCTTATAAATAAACTGCTACATCAAGAAATCCTAATTTTCAAATTGTTATAAAAAAATAATTTTTGGATTTAGTTTCTCAAAAATGTTATTTAAGAAAATTGTTAAAAAGGAGTTTAATGATTAAGATAATCACATAATGATAAATTCGGTATGATCTCTATAATTATTTCTAGTTAAAACCTCACTAAATAGCAAAATACTTCTTGAAGCTGAAGAAATGAAATACATTATATTAATATTTTAGATAATTATTTAATTTTTATTATTCAATATTATCTTTCTCTTTTTATTTCATATTAATTCATCTATTAATTAAAGGATTTTCAAAGTTAATTCCAATTCATAATGATCTTGAATAAATTTAATAACATCATCTTAGACTTTTTAATTCACTTCTTTGTATGATCCTTCTTTTGATAAGTCATAAACTTTAAATTATTCTTCATCCTAAATTTCAATTACATCTTATGATAAACTATTAGCTGTAAATGATTCTTATTTTGATTAATCTTATACTTTATTTGTATTTTATTTTGATGAATGCCACCATAATGAATTCTTAATAAAAAACTTTAAAAATATTTCAAAGATTTAGTCTTAAGGTATATCATCAATTTAAAATTTAAAATCTTAAAGTAGTTTTTCTTTGATTAATTTTGATTAAGTTAAGCATTCTTTAATTGTTTTATCAATAGATTCAAATGCTCTATTTGCTCTTTACCTTTCTTTTTCTATATACTTTTTTAGTAATTCATAATATTAATTTTTTGTAATTCCTGTTATTAAATAAGAGTTTTATAATTTATCTCCATAATATTATTAGAATTATTTCACAAATAAAGGTTAAAAATAACTAAAGAAGTATTATTAGATTTTTAGTGTTTATTCTTTATAATTATTTTGTTATTATATTTCTTATTCAGTTGGTTATACTATATTTTCTTCAAATTGAATATTTAATTTTAATATTTCATCTAATTAAATAAGCAATTCTTTTTCACATTAATATCTTTATTTTTGAAATTTATGATAATCTTCAATTTCATTTTTCTTCATTGTTTATTTAGATATATCAACAAAACTAAATTTAGATTTTAAATGCTTACTCTTTAATAAATTGATTAACTATTTCAATCATGTCTTTAAATTGTTTTTTATTATTTATATTACTTACTTTTTTTAAATTTTCTAACAATTTCTAAATTCTTTCATCTTAATATAATTCTAGAAATTATTTAATAATTTTTTTAATAGCTTTCACATCCATACAAATATTTTCATCTTCTTCATTTAAAGTCTTTGAAATACTTAAATATTAAACAAAATAAATTTTATCTATTTCTATAATTGATTGATAAGTAGTAAATTGATTAGATTCGTTCTTGAGTTTGATAAAAATATTGTATAAATTCAATTAACAATGACATAATTTTTTTTCAGCCATTTTAAATAAATGTTATAAAATGGCTTAAATAATTAAGATGGCTTAGGCTTTAAAGATGACAACATATTAAGATTTCTAAATAAATGAATATTAAATACAATAGCATCATATAAGTCATTTAATGATACACATTCTTAATAAGGAATTTAATATTAAATAAACCCATCTTCATATTATTTATTCCCAATTATATAGGGATTGTTTTCAAACTCATCAATCTTTAATAATTCTTTTTCTTCACAATTCACTTTTTAACAAATTATTTTGAAATTCTACCACCCTTTCATTTCTTT